TCAGAAGGAACAGAGAATGAGAAAGTATCAGGAAGCATATTTAAAGATAAAATGACTTGAAGTTTCCTAAGCCTGGAGAGGAAAATCAGTGTCCTGATGCATGAGGTCCAGAGAACCCCAATTAGATTAAATATAATGAGATGTTTACTGCCATGTGTTATAATCAAACTCTCAAAGGTCAAAGTCGAGAGAATTTTGAAAGAAAAAACAGCAAAGCACCTTGTCACATACAAGGGAATCTCCATTAGAGTATCTGTGAATTTCTCAGGAGAATCCTTGCAGGACAGGAGATGGTGATGATATATTAAAGTGCTGACAGGAAACAAAAAGAAAACTGACAACCACAAGTACTGTACCTGACATGGCAGGCCTTCAGGAATGAAAGAGAATTAAAGGTTTTCACAAACAAAAGTGTGGAAGTTGGTCATCAGTAGGCCTGCCTTATATACAGTGTTAAAGGTAGTTCTTCAAGGTGAAGAAAAATGATGACAGTGTGTTACATGGAAACATAGGAAAGTGTAAATCTCACTAGTAAAAGTAAGTACTCACAGTCAGAATGTTCAGGTCCTGTCGTGGTGTTGTGTAATTAGCATCTTTAGTTTGGAAGGTAAAAAACCAAGACTATTACAATGATTGCTATAATTTATTAAGAGACATAAAAAGAGCGGCTGCCTGGCAAGCGGGAGGTCATGAGTTCAATTCCTGTTACGGGGGGGGGGGAAGAGACATAAAAAGATATAAATTATGATATAAACAACATATAATGTAGTGGGGAGGAGTAAAAATTTAGGTTTTTTTTTTTTTTTTTTTGAGAATGTGATTGAAGTGTTCAGCTTAAAATAGCCTGTTGTAACTAAGATGTTTTAGGTAAGCCTCATCATCACCACAAATCAAAGCATGATAGTCGGGTTGGGGTTGTAGCTCAGTAGTAGAGTGAGTGCCTGGTCTGCGCAAGGACCTAGTTTGGTCTTTCACATTTATTTTAGAATGAAAAAAAAGATACAGTATTGGAAACACAAAAGATAAAAAGTAAGGAGGCAAAACATACCACTGTGGAAGAATGATAAAGCACAGGGGAGGACTTCAAGAGAGGAAGAAAGGAACACTGGCTCCATAAAGGAGCCAGAAAAACAGTGAGTGGAATGGCAACCAGAAGTTCTTACGTGTTAGTCATTACCTGGAGTGTGAGTGGTTAAATGATCTAATTTAAGGATATTGCATAGCCGAATGGATTGACAATATGTATATTAAAACAAGACTCAATCTGTCTTCAAGAAATTCAAGTGAAGGGATGGAAAACCAAATTCCTTACAAATGAAGACCAAAGAGCAGTAGTAGCTGTACTTATATTAGAGAAATACTGATAGTAAATAAAAAAGTGTGAAAATGAAGGCCTATATATTTGCATAATTAATGTAATACATTATATTATAATAAATTATATTGTAATTATAATGTAATAGATTATAAATTATTTGTAACTATGAAAATACTTGCATACAACATTGCAGCAACGAAGCATGTGTCAGTGGACCTGAAGGGAGAGTTAGAATGCAGTGTACTATCGGTGCAGGACTTTGGTACCAACAGTGGGGAGTTCACCCCAACAGAGTGTCAGTAAGGAAATGTTGCACATGTGGTACACTTTAGATCAAGTGGACATACCAGACGTATGAAGAATATTTAATCCGACAGCGACCCGGTTATACTTTTCTCAAGCACACACTGAACATTCTCTTTGACGGTATATGTGTTAGCCACAAAACAAGTATTAATAAATTTGAGGAGGTAGAAGTGATCGCAGGCATGTTTTCTGATTACGATTGCATGAAAGTAGAACTAAGTAATGGGTATATTTTTGGGAAGTTCACATATGTGGAAATTAAACAGCATGCTCCTGAGCAACCAGTGGATCAAAGAAGATATTAAAAGGGAAATTGGAAAATACCTTGTAAAATAAAAAGAGATATCCAACTTGCTAAAACTTACAAAATATAAAAAGGTTTCTTTACATAGAAGGTTATGAAATACATTATGTTGTGAGGTAATTATATACAAGTGGTTCCTGTAAAACATTTATTTATTTATTTATTTTGGCTTTTTCTCCGGTACCGGGAACTGAACTCACGACCTTGTGCTTGCCAGGCAGGCGCTTTGCCGCTGAGCTAAATCCCCAGCCCCATCCTGTAAAACATTTAGAAGTCAAGTAGTCAACTGCAGTTGGAGAAGGGAGTAAATGGGGAAATTGGAGAATTCGTGGGCATAATGATGCCAGATAATCCCAACAAATTAAAAGCCACAACAGAAAAAAACCACTTTCTCTTTAGTAGGCATTGGAAGATGAGAGGGAGGTTTGGGAAAGGTGGATAAAGCTATGTTGAAAGGAACCAGGAAGAAGTGTAGAAAGTGACAGTTGGGGACTGAAACAGGTGTTTGTATTTAGAATCACGTGATGATAAGATTATTAAGGCATCGTGAGGGGACTGCTGGCCCCTTCTTCCCTAGAAAGGGGATCCCTAAAGGGCCATGGTTTCTAGTTATATATAGGAATATCATAAATCTGGGAAAAACAGGGGTCAGGTTATTCAGTTCTTGTATTAGTAGCATGGCTCTAGGGCAGGCACGAGTTCTTGGAGACAGGGACAAATGAGTTTGTTGAGGGAATTTCATCATGATAAAATATTTTAAAGCTTCATTAAAATCTAAATAACTATTGCCATACTTAGGATTGACTCCTTGCCCCAATAAAAGATTGTAGCATCAATTTGATAAACAGAGCAAAAGAAAATAAGATGACTGAGTGGATATTACATAAGAGTATATACATTTTTATTACAGAAAGTTTTCAGAGAACCATATCACTTTAAAATTTAGAAAAGTTTCACATTGTGTTTTTAATATTGAAAAGAAAAAAGTAAACCTTGAAGTAGTTGAAGGAGTCATCTCCATGCAACAGTTTGTTCTGTCCTTCTGCATCAAAGAATTTGCATCCGCTGCAAGGTCTCCGGACTCCCAGGCCCCTGTTTTTGCTGCTGCACACTGTAGCTGCCATGATGCTTTAGTATTCAGGACTGTACAGTGGTGGAAGAGGACACAGTGGTGGCAGAAGATTCCGCTTCATCTGTGGCCAAAGACGGGTGTAGAGCAGAGTCCTCTGCAAGGGCACTGTTGAGAAAGTTTGAGCGTAGTCTGAATTCTCTCAGTCTGCCCCAGGCCAAGCTCGCCCCAGGCCAAGCTCGCCACAGGAGTAGAACCAGAGAGGCTGGCACAGCTCTGCCCTTTCCCACCTGCACCCTGAGTCCATGCTGGGAATTCTCTTCTACTCTGCTTCTTTATCACTATCATGAGGCTTTAGCAGTTGGAAGGTTTGGAGATTATTTATTAATTTATGAACAATCCCAGGGATAGAGCTTTGGTGATCTGTGTGTTTCAGTCTTTTTGAATAAAGCAAGTGGTTCGATTAACTTATTTATAAGCCAGTATGCAGTCACAATGTCTTTTCATTCCCGTGGTTATCTTCTCCCCGCCTCTTGGTAGTGGGGATTGAACCAATGGCCTTTCTACTGAACCCTGTTTTTTGAGAAAGTGTCTCACTAAGTTGCCCAGGCTGGACTCAAACTTGAGATCTCCCTACATCAGCCTCCCAGGGTGCTGGGAGTGTATGCGTTTGTTACCATACCCAGTTTTTTTTTTTTTTTAATTTCATGTTTAATATGTGTGGGAGATGTTAGGTTATGAGTTCAGGACTTAATGGTACTTAAATTTTCTGGTTAACTTTCGATCCCAGTCTTTCATTTGTCAACTCTTAGTCTTTATGTCATGTCTTGTGTGGTGTAGTGCAGAGCAATTGATGTGGATCCGGTTTATATTTAGTAGCAGATGGTTTCATTGTACATACAGGCAGAGAGTCTGACCTTTTATTTTCAGACACTCTGCCCTGGCTGAGGGTTACGCGTTTTTCATCGTAACCACAGCCGTCCCACTGCCAGTGATGCAGGTAATACCCCCATCGTGGATCCTTCCTTTATGAACCTTTTCCATTTTTCTGTTTTAATTGGATTTGAATTTTTCTAGAACAGATAAGTCAGCACAGCATGTGCTAGAACACAGTGGTTCCCCAGTGGAACCACTGGGGAAGCTAAGGACCTTGCTCTGCAGTATTTATTCGCAGAACTGTGGCAGCTACTGGTGAGGAATTTTAGACTATGTCACAGCTTTCGACATGAAGCACATGTAGCTGTAGTTGCTGCCGCTTGCTCTGAACTATACTATCCTCTGCTATGAGCAAGGGACTTTTTTTTCTTTTAACATACCATGTCTTTATGTATTTTTCTGGTACTCTGTAAGACTTCTTAAAAGTGGCATATTTTGAAGTTAATCTCTACTCTTGCTTAGTAACAGAAATGCATGCTTCAGAGATTTGACCCTTTCGAAGCATCATATAGAACAAATAAAAGATTTGAAGTAGGGATCATCTTTTTTATATGTGCATTATCACTGTATTGCTTGAAACATTATAATTGCTGTGTAAATGTCATTGATGATTGAACCCAAAAATAAACTTAATGAAGTCTCACCAGTAAACCTTTATTGAACCAAGTGTTATGTCAGGAGAAAAGGTAAAATGCTGGTAAGGCAGTAATGGAGTTACATAATTCCTTGATAACTGGGAGACAGTCTTATGCACATAAAGTTATTTTACCATGTGTAGCATTATGGTACAGTTGAAACACAGAAATAAGTTGAAAGGAGGGAGCAATGTAATGATTCCTGGCGGGGGTTGGAAGGCGACAAAGGTAAGCTTTTTCTGATCTGGTCTTTGATGGATGAAAACAAAACTGTTCCTCTCAGTTTGCATTATTTGTCAAAATAGCTTGCTGTCTGACGTTAATATCATGGATATTTTGGAAAATATGGTTCTTTTGTATAGAGAGGTAATTGTACCGTGTAATTCTTACCTGGGTCTCTGCTCATTGTGTTCTCATGCCTTCTTCCTTAAGAACTGCCTGAGGTTCCATCAATAGAAGAGGAAGTGGAAGAAACAGAGTCTTGGGCAAAGCCTCTCATTCACCTTTGGCAGACAAAGTCTCCTAACTTTGTGGCTGAGCAGGAATATAATGCAATTGTAGCAAACATGGAGCCACACTGTGCCATTTGCACCCTGCTTATGCCATACTACAAGGTAACTGGGGCTGTCAGCACATTCTATCCTTGCTGCACTTCCTATATGACTCCAGTCCATGAAGTCACCTTTGCGTCACTGTAGGTTTTGTACCCGTATCAGCAAAGAGGTGGTAATGCTTGTTAGCTTATGGCCTTGGTAGAACAATACACATTTCCAACATGCTGCTCTAGGAGCCATTTTTGGACACTATTTTATCTTTTTTAAATACTTCAGTTTATTTCAAGGAAAAAGCAATTCTAACCTTTCTACTCCTTTTACCAGGAAACACAAACTTAAAACTTAAAAATGAAACATTGCAAAGAGAGAGCTTAGATTCTGTTTTAGGTTTGAAAATGTGATTCTCAAATGGTATAAATGTCTGCTCTTGCTCAGATTTCTAATGTTTCTCTTCATCTTCCCACGTAGAACATGCAAAAGACAGAGGCAGGCCTCAATGTAAGCTGCGCTGCTTAGCCCCCGCATCACTAGTCAGTTATATGTGAGGCTGTTTTTCTCATTATTCCATGTACGTTGCCTTAATCATCTCAGCTCGAGCAGGGTCACATTTTCACTGATACAGATGAAGTGCTCCTCAGGAATCTCGTACAGGTGGAATCAAATAGTCTGTTTTAAAGTACTGTATTACAAACTGTATCAAGATGAATATTGTATTTTGTTATATTTTCACTAACAGAGTCAGAAATATTTCATTCTCTGAGTTCCATATAGTAGTAAACTTTAAAATGTGTGATATTGATACTACACCTTTTTAGACCTTTATGAATGGAAGTAGTTTACCCTCTCTAAAATGTTTTTTAATGTGGCACTGGCAAGTGACAAACATTACTTTTGTTTTCCTTTAGCCATTAAATTTCTGCATTTAAAAAAAAATTTCTGCATTTTAACTTTGCTTATTGATTCACATTTTGACATTATAATCTGCTTATATATTTTACAGTAATAACAAATACCAACTAATTCAGTAAATTTAAGTATGTATTATCTCTAAAGATAATATGCTAGTGCATTACGTATAGTATCAAAGAAATACTAAGCATTTCTCACATATTTTGGTAATAGATGACAGTTTTATTTGGCATAAGGTCCTTTCTTATTTGGTCACATGTGTCTGTTCTGTTTCTTGCTATTTAAGCCTTTGTGCTGAGGTAAATATTTTTGATACCTGTCTAAGTGCTGTTGCCCAGATGAAAACTGGGGTCTTTTAAAATACTCTTCCAAATGTTACTAGCTAGTATTTTTCACTAAGTGTAAGCTGATGTTAACTTAGTGCAAATAAAGATGGAAGGAAAGTGCATCAGAAGAATCGATGCTTTCCACGAACTATTTCTGGAAGAACACACTGCTAGCAGCTCATCACTGACTGGAATGAGCAGGCATTCACAATATTCTCTTGTTCTTGCAAATCGGCTTCTGCATGTGAGCCTGAGAAGGAGCATTGCTAAAAAGCTGATTGTTTGTTTAAGAGGAACAGGAAGGAGAACAAAAGTTAGAATGCAGTGGTTGTATAGGTGAGAATGCATGGGTGTCACCAGAGTGAGTGGTGAGTGCATTTCTGTTTTCACTCATGTGGAATTGTTGTGTTTTTCAGCCAGATAGCAGCAATGAAGAAAATGATTCTAGATGGGAGACAAAATCGGAGGAAGTGGTTATGTCGGGAGGCAAGACTAAGCCCCTCATTCCAGAGATGTGTTTTATTTATAGCGAGGAAAACATCGAGTATTCTCCACCCAATGCCTTCCTTGAAGAGGATGGAACAAGTCTTCTGATTTCCTGTGCAAAGTGCTGTGTTCGGGTTCATGCAAGTAAATAATGTTTATCAGTCACTAGCTTCTAAGAGCTTCACATAGGCCTTACTTCTCTCCTCTCTGGGACCTGCAAATCTGTTGCCTTGAACTATGTGATTCTTAACGGTTAGATAAGTTTTTCCTCACATTTCTTCTAGTAAAGTATGAGTATGTAACTAACCATTCTTTTGTCTCCAGTTTTGGGTGGTGCTAGTAGAGAACAGTTCTGGTTTTTAGTTTGTTTGGGGTCCTGCTAAGTTGTCCTTTTGTCACAGGGCTCCTTTCAAATGCTTGAATTTCCCTTACTTTAAGGTGTAGTTTGTAAAAACTTAATACAAATGTCTGATGTTGATTGATGACTATTTTTGTGTGTGTGACTTTGTAGTGAGAGATGAATATTCCCTTGGTGATTTGCAGAGTTGCTGTTGTACTGAGTTAAAGATTTATTTATCATAAGAGTAGAGAAATCTCTACTGCTTTCTGGGTTGAACAGTCGTCACAATAAGTTCCATATCTGTCTCAGTTTGTTACTTCTACACAGGTGGACACATGCTAAATACATTTTATAAACATTGGCCTGCCATCTAAATCTTACAGAATATGTAAAAAGGATTTATTATATAATACAGCTCTATTTTAAATCATTTTATTACTCTAGTTTTTACTCAATCCACAAATTCTGTTAATATAATTACGTGTGATACGTATATCTATATATCTATTTCTGTCTATAGATCTATATATGAATGTCTGTATCTGTATATCTCTATCTATATCTCACATATATATGCCAGCATAGTTTGGATGATTTATAACATAATTATCATCTTCTATATTTACCCCAGAGCAATAATAGTTTTTATTTATTTATTTATTTTTTATTTGTCTTTTTTGAGACAGGGTCTTGCTGTGCAGTTCAGGCTGGCTTTGAGCTCATTTGTAGCCCAGGTTGGCCTCAAACTCACAGTGATTCTCCTGCCTCAGCATCCCAAGTGCTGGAATTACAGGCGTGTGCCACCACACCTGGCTCAATAGTTTTTAATATTAGAGTTGAAATAGCCTATCAGCTTCCTCAAGTGATTTCAACATGATCTACCTGAAATATAATACATCTTTTTGTTATATTGATAGCAATTGGTCATGCCCACACAATATTTATTGTACATTACTATATACCTCACAAGGCAACAGAACACCAAAAGTAGGGAGTCAGTCTTGGTTCCTCAGTGCAACAGCTATGCATTTTCACCATAGTATTTCATAAACATGCACTTGACCTTAGAATTTAATGGACTTGGCTAACTATGATAGGCATTTGTTATTTTCTGTTACCTAAAATAGTACCAGTAGTTGATGTTAGAAGTTAGTCATTGAAATCATTGAAAACTCTCTTATTTGAAAAAGTCAAGATAACATGTTTCTTGGTGTTACGTAATTGCTACATGTATTTGTACCCAGTCATCTTCTGAGGTATTTGAGGCCAGGCATTAGCACCTAGATAAACCAAACTGGGGACATCTCTTCCACACTAATCATTAGTTGTGAGCCTTTGCCCTGTCACTGAAATGTTAACTAATTAGATTTAATTTTTGAAATGTAATTTGAAATTACATTAATTAAAGACACTAATATGTCAGAATGTTTATTGTATTATTTTAGCATTTCCACAAACTTTGCTTCATAAATTGGAACATATTTTGAAATGTTTATGCATGAGTGAAAGACTAGAATAGTTTAGAGATTTCATTATTGCACATTCAATTGAGTTAGCATTTAGACCCATACACTTGTGTTTCCTGGGACTAATTCTTATGAATTATGAAGACTGAGAACCAAAATTATCTTTGAGACAGGCTTGCTTATATTTGGTTCTGCCAGTGGGAATACAAAATAGTATAGTAAGTAGTTGACCTGGTTTTATTTTGGTGTTGAAATACGTAATATTTTAAAGATACAAGAGACCTAAGTATGGATTCGTATTCTTATTTCCTAGGTTGTTACGGTGTCCCTTCTCATGAGATCTGTGCTGGATGGCTGTGTGCCCGGTGCAGAAGAAATGCGTGGACAGCAGTATGTAGCCTATTTTAGTAGTGCTTTGCCCCAACTCTGGCCCTCTGGCACTGTGTGTGCACATTAAATCTGCTAGAAAATCAGATTGCACACAGGTTCTTGTGTGTAGTTCCACCCTTTTCCTATACTTCTGTTCTTTCCTCTCCAAATCATGCTGTATGCTGACATTTAAAAAATATCAGGTAAATTTCTCTTCTTCCTTTCAACCTATAGTTTATCAAGCCCACATTTACATTTTGAAGACTCAAAATTTTGCTTCATTTTTCTGTTTAGCCCCATTTTTTCAGTCCTTAGAAATAAGCATTATAGGTAACTGTTGTGGTAGAGGTACTTAGTGACCCCTGAAGAAACCATGTTGATCTTCAACTTTTCCTCTAGAATAAGCCCCCCCCCCCCATTTATCATCCTTACATCTATATCGTGACAGATTTATCGGGTTTTATCTCTGCCAGGCATTACTGTGAAGTTGAGACAGAAGCTTTAACAACAGTGATCTGCCACTTGAGTAATCTGTCACCGAGTGCTCTTCATCTAAATTGTTTTTCCTAAAACCCCTGTGGAAACTTCACTTACATGCAGTCTTTGATTTCCATTTCACTAATGTACTTTATCACACATTTTGCCATTTATTTTCCATCTTAATTTTTGTTAAAAATTGTGTTTCAAGAGAAATAAACTTTCTCAAAAGCAATGACCTACAAGATCACAAACTGATGATCTTAGGCCAGATTTTGAACTTTATGCTTTCAGTTATAAGAATGGCCTTTTATTTTTTTCTTCATTGACCACTAATTATAAAGAATTAAATATTCTTGCAGCCAGCATTGAAAACCTGAAGGAAAATATAAGGACTGTGTCCTACATGATGAAAATTTATGTCATGATTATATAGAGTTAGGTTTCAATATGGAAGTCACTCTGTGGTGACTATAAATTAAAGGAGTCTGAGAGGCGTAGCTCTCTGAATGATTTTATTGCTGGCATTCATGTTTAGGGAGTGAGGGAAAGGTTGGAAATTTGGACACTCTTTATAATCCAAATAATATGATCTGTTTGATGTCAGAGGTGACAGAAGCTACTATTCTAGTAGGCCTGGAAGACATTGTGGTATTTCTTTTGTTATAATCAAGGGTAACAAAGTCTAAGTAAATAAAAAGCATCCTTAAAACAGCCAGGTATTCTTGTCTGTAGGGATGATTGGGTAAATTCAGCCCCTATTAACTGTGCAGGTCTTATTTCATTGTATGAGCCAGAGTAAAGTCATATAGAACCAGTTTTGACTCATTCATGTTGAAACATCAGAAATACATGTAGAAATTAGAGACCACCTAGTTGAGTTCACCAAGGCTTTAAGAATTTTCTGTTCCGTTCACAGTTACTGTCTGGCGCCTGTGCTTGGGCCCTGAGCATGCCGCTGTCCAAGGTACCATATGCATGACAGAACCAGGGCTAGGCCTAGGCCACCAGTCTGCGTTCTAATGCCAGTTCTGATTCCTTCTGCTTTTTTCATGTGGCATGATTGAAAAAAGAATGCTCATTAATCTCTCTTTGGACTTGATTCAAAGCATTTTTACATTAATCTGAATTCCTTGCCCCTTGAAACACTACAATATGGCATTTTTTTGTTAAATTGATGTTACATGAATCTATTTCAATTTGCAGCAGAACTGGTAACTCATAATTTTACAGTGACTTTCAGACCCACATAGTTCCCTTCTTTTCTTCTGTTTCTTTCTCTTCCTTCCTTCCTTCTTCCCTTCCTTCCTTCCTTCCTTCCGTTTTTCCTTTCTTCCTTCCTATCCTCTTTTCCTCCCTCCCTCCCTCTCTCTTTCTCCTTCTCTCCTCTCCTTCCCTCCCTCCCTCTCTTCCATTCTTCCCTCTCTCTTCCTCCCTTTCTCTCTTTCTCTTTTTCTAATTTAGTGGTACTAGGGATTGAACCTAGGAGCTTGCATGCGTTGGACAAGTTACTGAGCTATATCTCCAGCTCCAACCCACTTAATGTCTTATTTTGAATTGGAAATGAGTGGGGCATGGTGGTGTGCCCCTGTAACCCCAGCACTCAGAAGGCTGAGACAGGAGGATTGCTGTAAGGCCAGCCTGCATTACATAGCGAGACCCTGTCTCAAAAATACCACCTCCCCCCAGGATTTTCAGAATTCTTAGCAGATATCATTTGTTTTTTCAGTTTATCCATTTTGAGTGAACTTTATCTATGAAGTTCCATTTCTCTTAAAAAATAATTGAATTGCAGCAAAGAAACTGACAGTATTGATATTCTGACTTTAATACCTGGGTTTAGTGTGGTAGTGAGTTTGGCAGTATTGATTTTTACTAAACACTGAGGTTTGATTTCTTTGACATTTGTGGCTGGAATGACTGCATTTTGAAAAGTGCTTCAACATGACTTCTCTAGGAATCAATCTCACATTGTCATTTAGATTCTAGAGTAGCCCTGTACCTCCTTATAAGTGGAGGCTGTGAAGGAAGCCATGGAAATCTCATAGTGGAGCTGACGTGGAATGATATTTCAGTGTTGGCTTGTTATTCACAAACAAACTCTCATTCTTGATTATTGACCAGGATTTTAAAAAATATACCATGTGAAGGTAAGAGTTACTCGTCAAGAGAGAAAAACAGATTTCTAAAGCATATTTAGCTTGGGTGATACACTTATATAACATATGATTATTCTAATTGTTTCTTTTTGTGGTAAGTGCTTTTGAACTCTTATGTTTTTAAAAGGTATTTGTGAGAAATATATGTGGTGATTCTGTTTCTAAATATACTTTAGGGGAACAGTGTTGGGGATTGCTACCAGAGCCTACATAAACTGAGCTATATCCCTAGCCTTTTTTATATTTTTTATCTTGAGGCATATCCTTTATAAGTAGCTAAATTGCCCAGGCTGGACTAGAACTCAGAATTCTCTTGCTTCATTTTCCCAGTAGGAGTACAGGTATGCACCACTATGCACAGTTTAAGATGCATCTTAAAAATATGACTGTAGTATGACTGTACTGGATTATAGAATTATGAGTCAATTATAGTTTGGAAGCAAAGGCATCTTAAATTCATTTAATCTGATCCCTATAATAAATAAATCCATAAGTTAGAGTGTAGTAATTTTTGTCAACCTCTACCTGGAGAAGGTAATGAAATATTCATGTAAATCTGGAATTAAAGCTTACAGACCAGGTGTCTTTTCATATAACAGTCCTAAGGAGTAGATGTCACTCTGGACCCAGGTACTTTTCAGTTCTTGAGTAACTAGAGGTCAGACCCTGTCTCATTTGTCTCTGTAGCATTCCCAATACATGGTGTAATGTTTGATCATTTTAAGATAATAAGACAATAGAAAGGTTGATACCGTAGTACTGATGGCCAGATCTTTATTTTTAATTTTCACAGTTTAAGTTCAGACCTCACTCTGATCCATTTTATTGCCATTTCCTTACTTTGTCCAGTTGTGTCAGTGAAAATAGAAACTAAAAAGCTGTATTACAGCTTCAAATGCATGTGCTTTAGGAAGCAGTAATTGCGATTTTTGGATTATGCTGTAATTTAGATTCTAGGATTATGGTTCTATGCTCACCTTCAAATGAAATGAAAGAAAAATCCTACAACTACCTGCCTGTCCTTAAATTCAGGTTGTGTGTTTCGGAGTTATAATTATCATTGCTTTGAGCCTCAGCTTTCTCAGGTACCAATATTGCTCAAATAAAAAAAGACAACAGTATGAAAGCTGCATTTGAAATTATGGTTTATAAGTCAGGTGTTTTGGATTATTTTATTTTCAGCTCTGTTTTATAAAGCCTCTTTTCCCTATTTGTATAATTCTTTGTAGAGAATTTTTTTTGTCACTTATTATGTTATCCTTCTAGAGAAAATTTTCAAACACTGCTGGGCCCTATTCTTAGGTGTATAAAGTTAATGCTCTTGTATTGTGTCTGTTTCTTGTTATTTGATCCTCATATACATCTCATTTTTACCTAATATTCTATAGTTTGTATCTGTTATGGGCACAAATTTCTACTACAGGCTCCTGCTGTTTAAAAATGTGACCCTAATATTTTTACCTTAAAAAATGCAGAATTTATATTTTCTTTCTGAGTTTTTCTTCCAGTCTTTCTTTGTTTTTATTCCTGTGTTGGAAAGTGCTCAGAGTCTAGGTATATCTGAAATACCTGAAAAGTACATTAGGGTCACACTTTTAATTAGGAAGGAGGATATTAATTAACTGTCTGTAATAGGCTGGCAATCTGAAAATGTACTTTCATTATAAAAGTTAATAAAGTTCTGTGTGCTCTCTAGAGTATTAAAAGGTATCTACTAATCAGTAATAGCAGTATTTTTACATGTGATCTTTTGAAAAATTTATAACATGGAATTCTAAAGGATAAGCGTGTGCAGGGTAAAGAACTGCAAAGAGGATTTGAGGAGGATTCTCTTCTAAAATTGAGGCATCGGCTATGATACGTGAGTTTGCATGGTAGCCTGGGCTGTTTCACAGATGCAGCATGTACTTTTATTTTTGCTTTTACCCTCTTTTTCTTTTAGTTTGGCTCGTTTGTTCTTCAGAGCTTTGCAGATTCACTTGCAGGTTTCTTACATGCCTGCTGCCCGCACACTTTTTAAATAAACCTTTGGCACCCTTAAAAAAAAAAGCGAGGGATAACGTAGCACTTTGACAGTTGTTTCTTTCCAGGAAATTTGGATATTTCTTCAGGAACCTTTCGGGGGAGGGAGATACAGGTTTTGTTATAACGCCATAAGTAGTGAAAGCTGCTTGTGAAGATGTGATGTCCCGTCTAGCTGGTCAGAGTTAGGACTTCGGTACAGAGTGAGTTGCCAGTCTTCTGTACGTGGCAGTGTTGCCTGTGCTATCGTTTCTCGTTGTCAAGTTGAAAAATTCCAAGTGAAATATCATTTATGCCCTGTCTTACTAGGGAGCATTTTATTACCTGAAATTATTCACGGAGAATAAGGCAAGTAAATGTGTA